ACTCTACCACATACAGTTTGGTTTCCTTTTGAAGTAGGGCTTGGGAAAGAACTCAAAAGTATATGGAGTTGCACCACTTTTGCAAACAGCTGTAACTATCCCCACCCCGCTGATCCATCTGTCTTGTATTTGGTCCATAACATGCATCGCTGCACCTCGGTCCCTCACTGGTTTGTTTTTCTTTGTTGTGACTGTTTTCTTGGCAAGCTCCAACTGAATATCGTACCACTCCCATGCTCCTATATATTCGAGCATGTTCTGTATAGTGTCTCGATATTTTCGGGATTGTCCCATTTCAAGTACCTGCACCCACATCGAACCATCCGACCAATGACTGTTAGATACTGCGCTACCTTGTGGTTGGTCTTGTTGAAGCGACTGAAGAACTCGTATATGTATATTTGAGGGAACACCCCCCTTGTGTCTGCTAAGGTGGCAGATACTGCGGATCGCTTCGACAGTCGAGTCTATAATGGAGTGTGGTTTGGGGAACAGTCTCGTCGGTGTAGATTGGCCAACTGAAATGATGCTCCCGAGTGATGGGGTTTGCTCCCTATGTATTTCTTCCGTCCGAGGCGAAGAACCGTGGTCCATTTGGTTTGTGGCAGTAACCGGAGTCAGATTGGCAGATGGGGGCTCATTCTGCGGTACCGAGTTAGGTGAAACATAGGGCAATAGCTCCTCAGATTGGCTTGATGCGGAAGCGATGCTTTGTACCTTGGAACTTGTAGCAAGGGCTTCGCTCGCCATTGTTGTTAGAGTTCCTATAGGTAACGCACCTTTCTCTTCGTCACTGCGGCCGCCTTCCTTGGGTGGATAGCTACTAGGTAGCGGCGAAGGCTTCGACGAGGGCTCGCTACGTGTTTTGGTCTGGATTCCAGGAGTTTCGTTGAGATTTGGGTTACCCTCGGATATGCTGGCTAGGGAGCTGGCTCTCTGTCTCTTTGGCTTGGGTGGGCGATACGAAGGATCTTCGGCATGCTTGCGCTTGCGTCCCCGGGAATTGGCAATCCCATCCTGGATTATTGCAGCAATACTCTGCGCTGTTTCCGGGGCTTTTTCACACAGTTGTTGGATGCTTCTTTGAACCTACTATAATCAGCCAAAGATATATCATTGGTGTGATTTGTAGCATACTGGTATACGACAAAGGTCACCGTTGACGTCTGAAGCAAATATATCGATAACCTGGCCGAATAATGTGATCAGTGTCTCGTCGGCTTTTAGCAGTTCATCAGATTTGTGCAGCTGTGGTGTTGTCCTATTGGAAGTCATGGTCAAAAATGCTTTCAGACAGGTGATAAGGGATGGGCGGGGTGGTAGGTAAAGAAGATTGCGATAGAAGGAAGCAGCAGGAGTCGAGGGGCCTTTTATAACTGAGGAGGGCGGCTTTCCAGTATCCCAGGATACCCGAGAGCAAGCAGGCACCAGGCTTTCCATCACAAGGACACCCTAGTATCCCAGGATACTGAAAAGTCGACGATTACCTCCTGCAGGTGCACCGAGCCTACACATTCATTGGCGACAGGAAATATCGCGCCATCTGTTGTCGACTCACAGTGTTCCACTTGTAACAATTGCAGGGACTCAACCAACTCTCTCACCTGGCGGACAAATTGCTGGCTAGGGGTACACCAACATGTGGTCGTATGTCCGCGAGGCTGACTTGACCATGCCCTGTATGGCAGATCAGCTGAGGATGCGAGTAACAATTGGTCCTCACAATGGCTACATTGCGTACCCTGATTCTGAGTAGTCCCCTCTTCGTGGCCTAGAACAAGTACTCTGCCAATCAAAGCCAGATTTGCGATACTATTTTGAGACTGTCTCACTCTCTCTGCTGCCTATCAATACAAGCCTGCATAAACCCTCGATATAGTCACGAAGGAGAACTCCCCTTTCTCTCAAATCAAGTTAACCGACAGCCTCGGTTAGGATATCGGAAAGGATGTCTTGGGCGGTCTCGGCATGTCCGCACAGAATTGCAAGCTATCACAGCGGCTTTCAACACGCTGAGCCGCCTCATTTCAAACCAATGGCAGCGGTATGGCTTGATGTCTGTAACGCTGAGCGTTTCCGAGCACGACAAAAATGGCACCGTAGCATTACAAAGTGGATTGAGACCACCCATCTGGCCCGTTACCTGCGCGGACGCCAACTTGCCACGATAATGGGCACTAAAAGAGTTCGTTCTTGACCCTCTGGAATGCTGACGCCCAATCATGCCCCCGAGTTTGAGGATATTACCAGGTCAGCTGCGCTTTGCCCCTGCTTGCCTGCTGTAATAAGGTAATTTGACCAGCATTGGGTGTGGTCAGAGGGCTGACGTCGGTGTGAAAACGGCTCAGGCTAGCCATTCGCCTTCGCTGCATCTTCCAGGTACGTAACAGTCAATCGTGGCTTATCGACCGCCGATATGGCCTGGGCAATAGAAACATGTAGCTTAACCATGAGGGTCTAGTGAGATAAGGGGATTATATCCCATACCGATCCATGCTCAACAGTAGGAACAATTTCATCATCTTCACATTGTGCGCCCTGCTACAGTACACTTGTTCAAGTGCATGTATATCTCGTTAAATCTTATTTATAGCCCAGACGAAGTCGTTTTTGCCTGCGTTCCTCTGCCCGGCAGGAGAGCTGCTCGTGTAATCTCATTCGTTTGTTCGTCGGTCGGGCATCTAGTTCCGAACGATGAAAGTCAATGATCAAACCCCGGCCTAGCTCGGTGTTCTACAACATATTATCCAGCCGAAGGTCCTTGTGCAAGACCCCGAGTGAGCGAATCTTCTTCTGCGATCGTAAAATTTCATGTCTGATCGACTCAAAATCCTCCAACTTGTTGATGGGTTCACCGCCCCAAACCATAAGTAGCATATGGCGGATCCGGCCAGCCCCTTCGAGGAAGTAGATCATGGCCAGGTCGATTGTGCCGAGAAAGACCGGTACGGCTAGCCCTTGGGCTCGCCAAAGGATACGATAAATATCCGCCTCTCGCTTGACCTCGTTCCACCGGCAAGACGTAGTTCCTTTACCGACGACCGTATACCCATACGCCGTGCACGTGATTTTGAAAGGCGCTCCCGATGTCCCACAGCCTCCCATCGGGGTGCAATTGCGGTTGAGGTTTTCATCCAGTTGCTGCTTAATCTGCCGAACCAGACCCTTGGCGTCGATCAGGTGTTGTTTGCTGGACCCACCCTGCCGATGAAGCTCGGCTTTCGGGCAGTAGTCATCCAGCGTGCCTCCTCGCTGCAGGCCAAGCAGGCATTGCTGGGTACAGAATTGAGCGTTGTGTTGGTATCGGCCACGTTCATTCTGCTGACCCTCGGTCTGACGGGCCGAGCGCTGCACCGATGGAGACGATGGAGATGATGTAACCTGGCTGAAGCCACGCTTCCGCCCGCCAGGGCCGGGTTCCATATCAGGGTCCGGAGAATCCTTACGCTCCATGGTATTCGGCGTGCACTGGGCTCGAGACCGGGTCGGTATTCGACGTCGTTGCGTAGGAGATTCAATCAGAGAGGATGATGGGAGGTACTCTGACGCCGTCCGTCCAGAACTCTCCGAGGGACTATATTCTGAGCTCGGTGGGTTTTGCTGTAATTCTATTTCCGGGATTTGGGAGCGGTTATGATCGAAACTCGTCTTCCAGACCGGCAGCTTCTTCGATGCCTGATTTCGCCACGCCTGGTCGCGGACCGGCGCACCAAAACTCATCAAGCAGAGACACAATACCCGTGCAATGACCGTTAATGGCCGCTCAAAGCTCCAGTCGTCATTTGGATCGATCTCCATATCTGGCTCACACAGGTGGTAGTATAACGTGCCCGGTTCATCGTAGGGGACCCGTAACAGAACCAAGGCCAACCCGTTCGTCAAATATGAGTACTCGAGTCCTTCCTGAATCATCACATGGTACTCTTGAGTTACAGCGGACCGGTCAGCCAGGCTGCATTATACGCCAATTTTGCAGACTCCTTCGTGGTGATAGAATTCGGTCGGACTATCTCTTTCCAGAAGTTCATGTCTCGCAATCCTGCGCGAAGGTTCTCGACGGAAAGCTTATGAGGCGGCTTATACTCGACTGTGGTAAGAAGGGTATTTCTCTTACTGTCAATCCGGCGTATACAAAATTGATCTGGTCTAGAACGCCGGTATGTAGTCGGTAGGGGTGGGTTAGTCCCAGTTGGATCGAGGGTATTTGTATGATTGTCAAACTTGACTCCATCGCCCAGGCCAAATTCCTCTCAGGCAGCAGGGTTCTTGCAGAGTTTTGTGAGGATGTTATGAACATAGTTCTCCACACCAAATTGTTCATAGCTTTCCAGATCCTGTTCACTACTTATGGCTCCTTCACCAAACCTTTGCCCCAGATCCTCCAGCACAAGGCGGGGCGAGAATAGCTGTGCGGCAGTCTCATCTGGAGGCGCCAGATAGGCGCAAACAGAGCGGTGAATCTCCTGTTATCTGGAGGCACAATCTTCCCAGTGCAGAAGCCGCAACGGACAATATTTCCCGGTTGGGGGGG